CCGGTTGTCTTGGTCCATCTTGCCAACCACTTCTTCTTCAAAGGAGTCAGTGCAGAAATTCTTTGAATTAATTACGAATTATCTATAAAAGGGACCTTTTAAATTTGTCCAAGCTGTTACATCGAGGTGTTTATCGCTTTATCTGAAGGCATCACTTTTTCAGGAAATGAACAAGGTTGAACGGTTAGCGTGGCATGCAATGAGTATGACGGAAAGTGACGAAATCAAGGCCGAAGCTTGTTACATTCTTGCGCGGTTTTTCCATTTCAACAGAGACTATGAAAAGGCGTTCAAGGTAAGTTGCATATGCAAGAATTTCAATCCATGTCATCATCGTGTCCTAGTACTATTATCAAGCAACTACGTTGAATCATCCTACTTTCGTTTTGCCCCAGTATGGCCTTGGACCTCGGAATTCGAAGATGTTTGGATGAATATAGCTCATGTATATATCGCACTTGGACAATATGTCCCTGCTTTGCAAATGTGAGTTTATGGCGTTCCTCGCTGTTTTGTTTCATGTTGCACAGAATGCTTTTTTGATCTTTTTGTCATTTTCTTACCATGTTAAAACCATATGCTTATACTGTGGTGTTACAAGGTTCTTTTTGCAACTAGGAAATTAGTTTTTCTTTGAATATTCTTATCACTCCTAGTATGGTTTTTGTAATATGAATTAACTGTTGTACGTATGCTGGAGATAGATAGATAGATTTTTCGAAAGTTTGATAAATTTGAAATAAATGTCTTATCTCTTCGTTCTTTCTTCTATCTTCTATCCACAAACGCTAGGGGTGAGAGGGAGGGGGTAGAGTACGGGGTGAGGGTCGCGCTAAACTCCTACCCGGGGGGGGGTCCTATTCGGCTTATTTGGGTGGGGTTTAGAGACAAAATTGGGGTTTGGAGCTTAAAGGCAGCGTCCAGGCAAGTCTGGACCTATGGGGATTTTACATGGAAAGTATTTTGGGGCCCTAACTAAGCCACTACCCAACCGGCAGCTCAAGTAGTGCTCTAACGCCTGAGATATTCTGCTCGAAACCGGACCCCGCGACCGTGTTTCGCATGGATTCATGGCGCAAAGAGTGGATCCTGGCGCGAAACTGCCATGAATCCATGCGAGTACGTTCGCGGGGGTCATGTTCAAGGGGAATATCTCAGCCATTGGAGCACTACCTGAGCTGCTGCTTCGGCAGTGCCTTAGTTAGGGCCCCAAAAGTACTTTCCATGTAAAAGCCCCATAGGTCCAGATCTGCCTGGAAGCTGCCTTTAATTAGGGCTAATTACAGTATGCCGCGATCGGGGGGCTCCGGCGCACAAAATCGGGGGGCTCCGGAGCAGAAAATGGGAGGTATCCGGAGCAGAAAATGGGGGGTATCCGGAGCAGAAAATGGGGGGTATCCGGAGCAGAAGATGGGAGGTCTCCGGAGCAGAAATGGGAGGTATCCGGAGCAGAAAATGGGAGGGCTCCGCCGGACAAATGGGAGACCCACCGCTGGGGATACGCCGCGACCCTGCCACTTCTCCGGCGGAGGGGTCCGATCCGCTGTCTGAGCTACCCACAAAATGCCGTCATACCAATATCCACTTGCTTCATTGGGTCAGCCTACCCATACAGGTGTTCACGAAATAGCCAGCTCAGAACTTGTGGATTCCGACACACAGTACTCATGGGTTCGCTTTACCCAAGCATAGAAAGAATCACAATGGTTACAAAGAGAACTCCAGTCATTATTTCAAATGTTATAAAGTTATAAAGCTTTTATAAAGCAGCAATGTCTTTTGACAGTAGCATAGTATTTTGGAAACGCTCTCACAGTTTTGGCATCAAAGCGTTTTTTTTGAAAATCTGAAAATAGTTTCCTCCCAAGAAGGTCGCCGTTCACGTTAATTACATCAACGAAAAAATCGAAAAATTAATGTCACAGATTTCCTGAGATTTCGAATATTCAATAATGGGGACTGATAATTTGTTAACAAAAAACGCTCTGAAGTATACTAATGCTAGCTCATGTCAAAGATTTTGAAATGCTTCTGAATTATGAAGAAATCATATACAAAGCTGACTGCCTGCGATCATTATTTGGTAAAATATGCTATGCGAAAAGACTTGTTGTTTTAGTCAAAAAAGCAAGTCTCGATTTAAACTACTACGTTGTAAACGTTCGCCATGCATTCTTACCCTCCCCTCTACCAAGTTTGCTCGCCTAAGAAAAAATGCAATAAACTGTATTTTGGTCTCATACATGGAGTACTCATTCAAAACCCAAATTATCTTCGACATGTAATTTTGGGATAGGAAACTATCAAACTCAAAACGTTGCAAAAAAGCTAGCAGACCAAAGAAGAATCGAAGATGCAACGACATGAGAGAGACAGAGGAGTTAAAGCACTAGGTTGCCAAAATATCGATGTGGCATAAAAATGCAATGCATTTTCGATGTTTCAATCCAAAGAATGGTACTTCTACACTTCAATGACTTTGTGCATTTTGTGCTACCAAAGCACGTCGACTATCAAAAACATGGTATGATCGAGATAATTCGAAAATCTCTCGAATTATCTCGATCATACCTCAAAACGTAGCTTTGCGTTCTTATTATGCAAGTAATTCTTGAATCGAACAAATCATTGACAAGGCTTTCACGCCGGATAAGCTAGCGTAGGGTTTGTCGGTACGCAGTAGAGATGTTACACATGATTAATTTTGAAAAATTTTAACAAAATACAAAAATTTGAGGAACTCAAGCCGTAAGGATGCCAGAGTGTGCTTCGGGTAGACGTCAGCGGGCTCCATGCTGACGTTAGTGCTGCTGTGTAAGCTAACTCGGCGACTCTGAATAGCGACCGCAAGTTAGCTACCTGCTGGACAAAAACTCACTGGGTAGGCAAATTTATTGGGTAAACCGACCCACAGATATCGTTGATGAGCTGTCACAGCTTCTAAAATTTTGTAATTTGGCGTTGAAGAGCTATACTTGTCCACCTTTCTCTGGGCATATTCCGAATCATTCTTCCAACAAACGGGAACGGGTCATGACTCACAGTCTGCGCGGCAAACCCCGAAGCGAACGTCGCAACGCGACGCCAACCAGTACGAGTGAGTTGCTATTGAAGGACATCGCTGATGTGATTAGAGCATGTCTGTCGTGGAGATTAACCACGAATAGCCGGGGCCACGCGTCATGACTCACACCGCGCACGGCGATTTTGCAGAAAGCGATGGAATATTCTATTCTGTTTTCATCGCTTCGCGACAAAACTTTCGCGCAGACTGTGAGTCATGACCCGTTTCGCAAGGGAGAAGAGAGAGCGAGAGGGAGAGAGTGAGGAAGACGAGAGGAGCGACAGAAGAGAGGTATGATAGTTTACTTTGTCTAGATCGCTAGCTGATACTGCCAGTTAAATGTTTTCACTCCTTCGATTGTTATTGCTCTTGCGTAAGTTTTGGCTTTGGTATATATTTGCTGTTTAGACTTTGATGGTAGTTTTGGTTTTTTCCATCAAAGACTACGCGGAAGTACTGAGGAAGGAGTATCATGACTGCATTTCGATCTACCGTTTCTTCGTATGTTTTTAATAATCTTACCAAGTATTTGACATATGTTATTTGACATTTTTTCGCTTTATTAACGTACAAGTGGCACTGTTGGCTGCCTAATGAGATACATTAGGTACCGCTGTAGCGTCACATAATATAACAATGGCTATGCCTTTCATAACAATGTCTAAGTAGAAAATTCTAGTCAGATTTCATTTGTCAACGTAGTATTCTTCTAGTGATACTGTCACTCTGTTTTGCTATCTCCTGCGCTCCTACGATATCTATCGATACGACAAACTACGACAAGAAGATTTCTCCAGTTTTCATGCGGCCATAAATGGATGCTCAGAAACAATTTGCGAGGTAGTTGCTAATTTGGACTCCTTCACTACATTTCTATTTGCAGGTGAATCTTGCGGCATCGCTAGGTTATTCACAAAATTGTTGCTGTCCATGCAGAGCTACCACGCGCAGAAATATTGTCGGACCTCTGGTTGGTCTAAGGTGCGACCTATGTTGTTTATGATAAAATGATCCTTCTCTAGTTTTCCATGGACCATTCTTCCAAATACTCCAAGATGGGTTCCGGAAGTGAGCCGACAGAAATGTACGCCATCACCGGCAAACTTTTCGCCAGACCCATAGCTTGACCTTTGGGAGTTTCAGCAGAGCAAAACTCAAACAATCAGTGTGAATCATCCGGATGCTAACTTTGATCACTTCCATACCACCCCCCCCCCTGAGTGTCGTGTGATTGACGAGGCTTCGCCAGCTTTCCTTCTCTTCCGATAGACGAATTTGCTCGTCGTAGGTGAGAGAGTGTAGTAGTGTAAGTTATCCGATTCAATCGCTACAATAGTAACGACCATTTCTCGCTTTCCAGGCAAAATCTTAGAAGAAATTTCCTGTCCTCAATATTTTAAGAAAAAGAAAACATCACAGAAATTAACCTCTCCGTGACAGAGCTAATTGCGCTTGGAACGTATGCCTTTCGAAAGCGCTCTTTCCGAGGTTTTCTCCTTCGCAGCTTTCCGCCGTCGTTATAGCCACCATTACCGTACAATGGCTCGTAAGGCGATGATGAAGCTGTGGCGGAGAACCTGACTCCATCAGAAAGAGTGTTGTTTATTTATGTGAGATGAATGCTATGCAAAACTTTCTTTGGAAAAGGGTGGGAACAGGGAGGGGAAGGGGTTGGGCTTGAAACTAGTATCACCATTACACAAAACACAGTATTTTATGAGCTATTCCCCCAAATTCTCAATGCGAAAGCATCCACCACCAGCTAATTCTTTCCAATGTGTTTTGGATTATATTGCGCACGTGATACTCTACCAAGTACCTGCGCAAAGTATTTGGGCTTTGGAGGGAACGAGTGAAAAAGCAGAGAGGGATGAAATATGCAAAGTACATAAAAGACGTGCAGAAAATAAAATAATGCTGACATTGTGGAGTCATTCTAGAAGTTTTCCGAGTTTGAAGTGTATAGTTCAGCAAGGTGTTCACCAGCTCGTCCTGCACAAGGAGATTTGGCATCGTTTTGGAACATACGTACACAAGACTTACGGCTGACGGTCGTTTCACCAATGCTGCTGGTGGAGGAGTACTTCTGAAGCGTCGAGTAAATCCAAATTAACCAAAGATGTGGCCCATCAGCCTGAAACGAAAATGATAACTTGGCGAACTGAAAAGAGCAGTTCCTCTACTTCACGAAAGAATTCACTTTATCAAAAAATTTCATGTTGGACATATATTCCGCGTGCACTCTTCTTGGCAATGTTCCAGAGCGAAGACCGGGCCCTGCCCAACTGTGCAGGAATTTGATAAGACCATTAGTAGACTTTTTCAAAGCAGCGCAATCGTCATATATTAGACTGTAAAGAAAGTTCCCGGAACTTTTGGAAAATTCACTTTCAAACGCATTTTTTCGGCGCTCGGTCGGACTTTGACACCAAGTTTTTCATACCGTTCAGTAGAAAAAAGTTTGAAGTTTTCAATACACCGTGACTTTTATCGATGCCAAGACGTGTTCGATCTGCACATCAAAAAGAGAAATCATTCCAACCATAAAAATTTCGCAATTTTTCTTCCTGCGCCCATTTTTCTGTGCAGTTCAAAGAATTACGTCCAAATCATGAGGTTTGCGATTTGCGCTCAGAAGTTACAACCTGTCAAACTTGCCTTTGACTACAACTCTATTCGCCGCTGGCGTCGCTTCTACGGGGATCATCACGCCTGGATGATGGATCCAAAAGATGTGTAAGGCATTACCCCAACAATGTTCGCAGTAGTCAAAGATTTGGTCCACTCTATGCAGAACGACAAGACATCATAGTCACTTACTCGAAAAATGGTGCATTTTTAGGGGCAAAAAGTGGTCGATTTTTCAAACTTTCTGGGGAAAATTTTTGTGCAGGTGGTCCTTCAAAAACATTTATGGTCCCCATAACAGCCCCAGCGGAACTCTATATAACTACAGCATCTGTGCTCTCCAGCTCTCATCCTGCCTGAGATACTCCTGCACAAATAAGCCACTTTTCGCGATGACCTTTTTCCCTTCTGCGCACACTGGTGGACCGCAGTGAAGTGCTGAGAAGCCAACAAGCTAAATATATGTTGTGGACGAAATTGTCTTTGCAATGAAGTTTGTAGCTTCAAAAAAGAATCAATCTGCTTGAAGTCACAGCGATTTGAAAAAAATTTTCGCAAGTGCCCGGGAACTTTCTTTACAACCTAATAAGTCGACCTTCACCTCCCTGATAAAGAAGAGTTAGCGAAAAACTATTTATACCAAATGATTTGTGAGGAAGTCAGAAAAGCATACTGACAAGAAGGTATTCAAAGTTATATATCCCATGTACCATGCAATACGAAAACAAAGCAAGAAAAGAAAGGAGGACAGTTACAAAACATCACAAACTGGACGCATCAACGTTTGAAAATTGTTTAGCAAAAGCGCGCGCACCGCAAAACTCGTCCGTTTGTTTTGGCGAAGACATGCGCGGCGGGGCGGCGATCTGCGCGGTGTGAGTCATGACGCGTGGCCCCAACAAACAAATGATGTGATAAGTTGGATCGTGTACATAGAGATATCAAAAAATTTGTCAGCGAGCTTATCGTATTGTTCAAAAAGGCACTAGTCTTACTCTCCTACACTGATGATGTAATCAGGATACAGGTAATTTCCGCACTTCAATTTGTTAATGTACAATCGATTTCTGCTTTTTTGATAGTTTCGAAATACGTGGCAATTTTGGTTTTTTCTCCCTGTCCTGGCGACTAGCATTTGATACCATAGAATGTAGATTTATATCATCAAAACTATGAATTCATCAACACTGTTGCGCACTTTATCTACTGTTGAATGTTTGTCACATGCCAGTAGCCAGGATTTTCGTATGCCATAATTTCTGCATGCCACAAAAATCAATTTTACAGCTTCAAGTTAAGCACACCAACATTCCTCTTGTTCGCTCCAAGTTCAAAATTTTTATAATTCGTAAATAGGCATGCACACATGTACCGAAGCGTCGAAAAGCGGCTTCTTTTTTGTTCGGTCAGAAAAAATCTCTTGGCACTGAAGATCTTATTATTCGAAAACTTCTCTATGAAAGCCTCAAAGAGGAGAAAGAGAGTAAATGAACTCAGACAAGTTTTCTGCATTTATATTTGAGTTCTGAAAGATAAATCAAGAAGAAATCTACACTCAACCGGTTTCGGGCCTTAGAACTATACCGGTAGAGTAGCCTCCTAGAGGCCATCTTCAGTAGTTCCCAGGAAAGCTGCAAAAGTTCTTGAAGTGCTATTAGAGAGCCAAAAGGAGTTAGCTAAATGTAAATGAGACAAAAACGATGATAACGGTAGGAATGCGAATGAACTGTGCAAATGAGATGAGATATGTGTAAATGAGATGAGATCCCGCCATCTACTCAGATATATATATATGTGTGCCTGGTTTGAATGCGACCTAATTAATCTGGCGCGCGGGCGCGTACAGCATAATGGTGAGATCAAATATTGAAAAATTAGTGGAATTTAAGGCTTCTCAGGCCTATGGTCTTAGTGCATACGGCTGCATTCGTGAAGGGTATTTAAGCTTAACTGTGAGTATTATGGAGACTATACCTACAAATGTTTGAACCTTAAATTAACCCAGTGTAATTATCCAACTAAAAATTCTGTTACAGTGAGTTTTAGCGTATTCCCGCGATGATATTTTGTGAATTGAAATCATGTCTCCCAGAGTTCCCTTATTTCATGAACCTACATCGAAGCCATATTTACGCAATATGTAAGGGTCATCCCTCAAAGTATGACATAAGGTCCTAATTAGTATTCTTTCTTCCCATCCATTTTTCTTGGAAAGTCTTGCCAATTGCAAAAGTCTGCCTTTGAGAGTGATGTAATCTGAACAATTTCTATATATTCTAACTGTTTCGGTTTTAAAAGTGTTGGTAATGATATATCTGGGTACATTTGATTGCCAGATTGGATATCTTAAAACTTCGAAGCTGTACTCATCTGTTTTGTTATATAATGCGAGTGCTATATCACTGTTTGTTATTACATGTTCAGGTCTAAAAAGCCTGTTTCATTTTCCTTCGTGTTAGTTTTTTCTATGATAAGTTCGTTGTGATAAATGTCCGTCAGGGACCGTTCGAAATCAATGGCGTATTCCAAAGTATGTAGTATTAGGTTGTCCCGAAAGTTTTGTCCGTTTCTTTCATCGCTCACTAAAATTCACGGAACACCAATCCATAAGCGGCTTAGGTACCATTTATAATAGTTCAGATTTTTATAATCTTTCTTACAGCTATACTTGCTTTCTGATCTATCTTGTCTCTGCAATGTTATCGCCATAAATTTTTGAGCAACTCAGCAGTAACACCAAATCTTTCCTGAATTTTAGAAATTTTTATACTAATGTTTTCAAAGAGCGCTAACGACTGTATGTAGAGCAAATCTTTGGCTACATTGTGCACATTTTAGATTACATGGATGACGTTTTCCAAGTCCGTTATAATTATTTATTTAATAAAAACTGAGGCTTTTTAATTACGTTTACTCACTCGAAAATATCGAAAATTCAAAAAGCAGCTTCTTTGAAGCAAATCAAACTTGGTTATGTTGCATAAATAATGTTAGATAAGAATCATGTTTTAGTTCGCAAAAATTTCAAAAACTTTCATGTATTTGCTGCAAATGCGTGTTTCATGACTTTGCCAAAAATTGAGACCTTCAAAGAATTAGTTTTTTGAAGCTAAAAACAGCAGATTTGGAAAACTCAAAAAATATCTCGTTGTAGTCCGAGAATTGCTCTATTGAATCTATACTCAATCCTTTCCGAGACTTTAAAACGAAATTTTCAAAAATTAGCTGAATTTTAAGCACATGAAATTGACGGGTGGAGAATTTTGGCAGTTATCAAAAAAAGCATAAAAGATTTTGGTTCGAAAATGTGTTCACAAGAAAGAGAAGGAAAAGCTGCATCGAATGCTTGTAGGTTATTCAGGTCTTTATTGTGCGTGGTTTTATAGTGGTTTGAAAAACGGACAAAACTTTTGGGACAGCCTAATATATCATCAGTGTATCTTGTGTTGTTGAATTTATGTAAGTTCCCCGCATTATTGTTTGCTTTTATTCTTTTGATAAATTCATATTCCATATAGGATAGGGTTGAATCAGCCATCTGAAAACTGCATGAATCCCCTTGTGGAATGCCTTTCTCCTGCTTGTATACCATACCTGCGAAACTAAGATAACCATTATCGAGAAGAGAATCTATCATATATAGTATATCTTCTATTTGATAACAATTTCCTTTAGCTTTCGTTACATTTGAGTACATCACATTTTGATTGTTTATTCTCATAAATCTATACCCCTTCATAAATAGCGTTATGAGTTTACTTATATTGTTCTTCACTACTGAATGCGATAAATCCGTGAACAGACTAGAGAAGTCTGCCGAGAAAATTTTCTTGTTTCCGTGGCAGCCACTAAGGTGAGTTGGAGGGTACGGTATATATTTAGGACGATGAACCTCTAATACCAGCGATAACGATAGGACGATGCCACGCGGGCTGACTCGTGTTGACGCGTACCTCAACTCAAACTTGGGTAATTAAACCGTTTACTTAAGGTAAAGAAACAGTAATCAATTAACACAACATGTCTCTAAAACTACATAACAATAGATTGTGAAATTCCAAGATAATAATGACATTGAGGAATAATGATTGCACAAAAGTATGCGATTAAAAGTGATTTAGTGATATTTGTCAATTTCTCCAAAATATTTGAGTTTTAGCTGAATTTAGATTTGTTTTGCAAAATCAGTAGGAAACTAAATGCAAACGGAGCGACTGAGAATCGTGGTCTACAACAGTTAGAGGATAGTTTTTTCATAATCAAGGAGATCAAACAAAGCAATAAAGCAAGTGATGAAGCAAGTGATAAACCAAGTGCGCGGAGCGCATCCAAGTGAATACCAAATGAAGCTCTTCATGGTCGAAATCGTCGTTGCCATCTGGCGCAGCTGCCGCCCTAAGTCACTCGGTCGCGCTGTTTTTAATAGCCTGAAGTAAAGTTTGCAAGTATGAGAGTACGATATCTTGCAAACCTCGAATATTTACTCGTTTTTTTCTTGTTGTCGCTTGGCGACACTGCCGCCCGTTTTAGTGTTGTTCCTGGCGGGAAGTAGCGCTTGTTCTACGCCCGCTTGTCTTGCCTGTAATTGCAAAATTTCTTGTTCGAGGCAGTGGCGTACCCTGGATTTCGGCTCGGGGGGGGGGGCAAAAAAATTTTTCAGATGATGGTGCGTGGCGTTTGCCACGCACTCCGAAAAAATTTTAGAGGGGCTTCTCAAAATTTTTCCGGGCCTCTGAGCCCCCGAAAAAAATTTTGTATAAGACTAATTTGAATTTTTGAAAATTATTTTAATTGTTTACAAAAATAAACAAGCCACTTGCACATTTTTATAACTCATGTAAGTAACTTTCAAGAATTTCGCGACCCGCTCTCGGGGGGGGGGGGGGTGGGAGGGGCGCCCCCCCCCCCCCCCGCCCCCCCCCCCTCGGTACGCCACTGGTTCGAGGATATGGTACCTTTCTCTTACCTCCCACCCACACACGGAGTCGGAGAATTCCTTCGGCGTTCGGGACTGTGCATAAGGCTTGTGATACACCCTATCGTTGGGCCGAAACTCCTCCGCGCGGGTACCACGTAGCCATTCACAGTAAAAACATCTTCTTGTTGGGAAGCGACACCGTCCCCTCGGGCAGTGCATGAGGCCTTTATGGCAGAGGCCGGCCCGTCGCGTGATGCGGAACCTTTCTTCCCCATCTGTTACTATCGGACAGGAGTCCGAAAAGTGCCTGTTCACTTGATTACAGAACACGCACTCGACTTGTACGTGGGGTGTCTGTTCAAGATCTTGTGGAATACTCCGGGACAAAAGGCGTATCGTGCTTTCCCAGGGTTCGAACTTCTCACGGGTCTCTGTTAACTCCTTTCTCTTGTTTTGCAGTTCCTGAGCAACTTGTTCAACTTTATGATTTTCCTGCCTCCCAGGTGGCTCGTGTGCTTGGGGAATTGGTTCGGCAGCTTCTTCTATCATGTTGGGCAGATACTGATCACCATTGTCAGGCTGGTCCTCTTGTTCATGTACTACTTGAGGTTCATCGTCTAAGCGGGCTGCTTGTTCTGGCTCCTCCTGAGGTTGGTTGTTCATGCGCCTCATTTGTTCTGGCTCCTGCTGGGGTTGGTCGTCCATGTGCACTATTTGTTCTGGCTCTTCCTGGAGTTCGTCATCACCTGTCTCATCCACTACCATGAGCTCTTCCTCGCCTTCCCATAATTCGCCCTCTTCTCCCTCGTCGACTAGTTTTGGGACGTCTTCCTCCATCGGCGCTGGGTTTCTTACTTGAGTGCCAGGAGTTGTCTGTCCACGCTTTCGTCTAGTTTGGCCCTCTTTAGTTTGAGTCCGAACAACTTCTCTTCGGCTCCCTGTAACCTGTCTTGTAACCGGCGTAGGTTGCGAGCATTGATGTCTGCCTTCTGATTTACACCTATCTTGTTCCTGTAGTGGTTTTCGGCAAGATCGGTTGCTTTTTGTATCCGGTCAATGTACTTGTCGAACATCCACTTTGTGTCTTTGAAGTCCTCAAGTGATTCTTCATCATACCAGTCGGCTTCCTTTTCGTATAGTCCTTGTAGGCCACGAGTGTTCAGCCACTTGACCAGTATGATGAAGCGATTGAACAGCTTTGATCAGCTGTCTTTCTCTGCGGTCACGGCGCGCAGGAGATGCCCCAGGATGATTACGCGTTCTCCTAGACCCTCCCCTTCGTCAGGTAGTACCTTCTCGAGGTGTTTCCAGTCGGCCTTAACCGGCTTCGCCGCTGGTACGTAGCTGTTCATCTCTTCAGTTGTTTGCTCAATGTATTCCATAAGGAACTTGGTTGGAATGTCAGTTTTGGTCGAGGTGATAGCGATCAACTTGTCGAACTCGTCGCTAGAGTCCATGATTCTGAAATTGAAAACTTGTTGGGTGGAGTATTTATCACCTTCGCTCCTTTTGCTTGTATTCTACTCTACTATACTTGTTTTGTGCTTATTTATAGGATTAAATCTGTTCAGCGCTTCTGAGGCTGTACTGTCCAATGCGCACGATGAGCAGTAACGGCCTAAATATGCAGCATCGCACTGTTATTTTGAGTAGGCGAAATGGGAGTCGTAATAGGCAGTAAACCCCTTGTGGGCCGCAGGTTGACAAAGCGATAAAGGTGATTGCAATGATACTAAGACAAATTATGACCACGCAAATCAATGATTTGTACCATTGCGTGAAAACGTCTAGTATATGTGAAAAGTCTGGCCATTCTATCTCGTTGTACTCATTCGTATTGCCGTTCACCCTCTTGTTCACCATGTCTTGTAAGGCATGGGTAAATTTAAGAATACCCGTTATTTCGAACTCTGTATGTTGTTGCCCACACGATACGCTGCATGTTTTCTGTACCCGCGTTTGTTCAAAACTGAAATCAAGATGATTCTATCCCATTTTCATCACATTCCACCGAGAAACTACCATCTCCACAAGTAATCTCGGCGTAGGCTTTACGTGTAGCCGTACAACGCACCTGTGCTGTTGCCCCTTGCGCACATTTATAACACCCTGTCAATATGGCGTCGTTTACAGAGCACGAAACTTGGTCTGTCAAAATGTCTGTTTGTAGGTCCTTTTGGATATTCAGTATGATTTCTGGGCCGGTAGTAATCCCCCCGACCTGGCGGCAGGTCTCGTCGGCAGGTTGCTGGCACCTTTCCGCGAGGTGGCCAGAAACTAAGATCCGAAATTTAGGCCGTCCCAGGCCTTTTTCCAAAAAATTTTCTCGATAAAGTTGCCGCCTTGACTCTGTAGAAAACTTCACAAAAATCTGCGGCTCCAGAACTCCTCCTTTAGTAAAATATCTGGAATTCCAGGAGGAGCTGCCGGCAACTTCGCGATGTCAGTTGCCGGCAACCTGCCGGCAGGTTGCCGGAATCCGCGAGATGGCAGCTGCCGGCAGGTCAGAGAGCACGGGAAATAGCGTGCTCTTTTGAGAGAGCGAGCTGCCGGCACCTCGACGTGCCCCTACCACGTCGAGGTGGTGGCACCTTTGCCGACGGCGTCTGCGAGTTTGCGAATTGCGGCGATATCACACAATTTACGTCAGGCGAAAACATCAAAAATTCTACTTTTCATCAAAAAACTATCATTTTTCTCATTATACGAGTTTTTCGTTTTTAGAACGACGATTTTCTTACAGTGAAAAAATCCAGTAATGCCTTAGAATCATAAAGAAACATCATCTTTTTTGGAAATCCCTTATAAATCTCGTTTGCACAGATTTCGCCGCTTTCTCGCTCATATCAATCAGCTGTTCTTTCAGGTCAAAGTCTCTCACGCAATGTATCGATCCCTCTTACAAGCAGCCATTTACCAGCGCGTTCCTCCTATTGCTGGTGCAAAGGGCAATGGCTGACCGAATGGTCGAATGGCTAACGTGGTGGCACTTCAAGTTAACACGCATAGGTTCGACCGCGCGCGAGGTAGCAGTTTTGCGACTGTCTGCGTCATCAAGATTTAATGTGCGAAACGAGTGCGTACTAAGGTTATATAAGATCATTATCATAGCCTACAATCACTCCGCGAGCTGCCGGCGAAGTTGGCATCTTTCCGCGATGTGTGCCAACTTGCCGGCATCTTTGATGCCACCAGGTAGGGTGAATTACTACCGGCCCTGAGGTGGTCATTGCCGGTACAGTTGCTTCTATCGTTCCTTTCTCAGTTTGGAATCTTACCAGAGGTGTATCTGCTGGTAGCCTTTTCTGTAGATTTTGTAAAACTGTCGCTATCTCAATCTCCGTGCATTTACAGTTTGCTTTTGTTTCTGCTTTGTAGCATGTGCATCCGTCGCGGACTTCGTATTGTAGCGACTCTGCCATTGTCTTGTTTGCGCACATCAACGGTAAGGTAACTTTCCCATCCCATAACGCGGTTTCGTTGTTATTCGTTAGGAAGTGTGTGTTCAGCAGCGGGATAGGTGGCACGGTTATTGAACTTAGCGTGCGTGAAAATGGCCCCCAATTAATGGGAATGTTGGGCTGCATTATTGCTGTGTAAGTTTCGACTTTTCCGTAGAGCTGTCCAATGTGTCAGCTCTACCTTAGCCGCTTCTTTCCAGTGGTTGCAATAAAAACTTCGAAAACTTGTGTGGATTTTGGGATGAAATATATTCTATAAGATAGGCATCCGGAGCTCCAATAAAAACAGTCGCACCCGAAACCTCCGCAGGATTCCACACAGTATGAAGATCCTGGATATTTGTTTTCTTGTGCCAGCTCGAGAACCAAGGCTTTTGTGTATTCTCTGCATTTGGGTTCTATGCATGTTCCCACATGTAGACATCGCTTACTGTCAATTACGTAATAAGTTACTTTCCTAGTGAAGTAATCTGTTACTTGTTGACATGTCAATTGTAGCGGTTTCCATGTTGCCCTAATTTCGTGCAGTGCAGTCCCGTTTTTGTAAGCCCAAAGCAAGCTTCCTTTTGAAGGGGTTAATTTTCAACACTTCTGAAAGTTGCACATGGCAAACGAGATGCTCTTATCCCGTCTTTGTGCAGATTGTGGCTTGATGTGAAAAGATATTCACTTGTTGGTAAGCCTGCGTTTCTTTCACTGTAAATAATGCAACCACTGCTAACAGCTCTATTAGGTCTGCTGCTGAAGATCTATATCGACGTGTTCTTGCCCCTCTGGTCTTTCTCCACACAAAGAAGACTATATGCCATATTGTCGACAGTGCAGCTCTGATTGGCCTTCCTATTATCATTGAGACGTACATGAACGCATAGCAGCCTATAAAGAGGAAGTAAAGCATGAATCCGCTTGCTATAATCGCTCCTATGGGCCAGCATTCCGGATTGAAACCCAGCAGAAAATGTAGTCCACCTCTGCGCAGAATGAAGTCGCTGGACACTTGGTTTCTACGGTTGTCATAGTGTGGTTTTCCATGATCTTCCAGTGAACTTCATAATCATGCAATGTGATTTGAGGTGGAAATATCAATACTTCGCGTAGTTCGGGATTTTCGAGGGTTTTGCAGAATTCTGCAACGCAGATTTGATATGGTATTCGTTGAGGAATTAGCACCTCGACGCCATCCATCGTGCACCGTATGGTCTGTCTAGCCCGTACTTTTTGTTCTACTGGTGCCATCTTTCCACCCGTTGCCAGCATCATCAAAGCCAACGCGATGAAGGTTACGAAATTCATGCCATTTGCGGCAATGTTTTCAGTATATCTCACGTTTTGGTTCCTTGGACGAAGGTCGTATCTCGAAGGTTTTTTATCTTAAGGTAGGTGTTGCAAATCCCCTTCTGCTGGTGAGTTGTTATCTTCCGTCTCTTGTTTGCTATCTTCAAGCTCTAAGGGGACTAACAGATTTACTGGTCGTCGCATTTTTCGATGCGAGGATAGTCGTACTACCGCCTCTCTTACGGTCCCCTCCTTGTTTGTTACCAGTTCTTCAATGCGTCCCATCTTCCAGGTGTATCGAGGTTGTAATGAGTCTACTATTATACCACTTTGCCTGTGCGTGGTACTTCTCTTGTAGACCGCTTCTTGAAAACTTCTCTTTTGTGGGTCTCTCGTAATGCCGTGAGGTATTCATACTGCCATTGTTGCCAGAACTTTTCTGTCAGTTTACAGGAGCTCTGAATGGCTTGTAGTACTTTCGTCTTCGTCGGTAGACGGGCTTGTTCCTCTGGCGACAGATATTCGGGATCCTCTTCCGGTTTGTCTACGTCTAGTGGATACGGAATTTTGAATTCATTTTGCAGGGAGTCTATTGGTCTAAGAATGCTGTCTTCTGGATCGGACTCGAAGTATATAAGTAGTCTCATATTTAGTATTCCCTCGATTTCCGTGATGATAGTTTGCAGTTCATCGTAGGGGGTGGGGGTAGTTCTTCTGAGAGATTTATGCATGGCTAATTTCACAGATTTGATTAGCCGTTCATATACTCCTCCTTGCCACGGTGCGTATGGTGTTAGATATTTCCAGTCAATTTCTTTCTTGCTTATTTCTTTCGCTAGGACTGAATTTTTCATCGCCTGATAATGGCATTCTTGGAGAATTGAGTCTCCAAGGATAAAGGTGAGGGGGGGGGGTTGTCGCTGGTAATTGATTCTGGGGTGCCTCGCCTTGCGAAGAATCGTCTCATCATATTTAAAAAGGCTTCTGTCGACACATCTTCCACAATGTCCAAATGGATCAATCTTGTGACCAAACAGGTGATTATCGCCCCATAGCTTTTTGTGATTACGCCTTCTTCGTTGGTAATATTTAGTGGGCCGAAGTAGTCCAGTCCGACATTTTCGAACCGCCTTGTTCGACGACTCTTCGTTCTGGCAGATCGCTTTGTTCTGGATATCGATAGGGTAGATTACTCATCTTCTGACATGGTACGCAACTCCGTATGATCTTTGTTACTTGCGCTCAAAATCTTGGGATCCAGTACCGTTGCCTGACGCTCGCCCGTGTGGCTTGTGCTTTTGTGGCCTATTGTGGTGTTCTCTTATAATGGCTTATGCTAACCAGGTGTTTTGTAGCACAAAAATGGGGAATTTGGCGGAGGTGCTCAACTTGCTTTCTGCTAGTCTTCCTCTGCACCTCATTATGCCTTCCCCATCCTTTGTGAGATTCATCTTCTGACAAGCTTGTGCGATTCTCGGTGTGACCCGTGCTACTGATGTTGCTTGATTAGCACCTTGTGTGCTATTTGGATCTCTTTCCCAGTGAGGCTCTTGTCATGTGTCTCTATGTGTGCGTTTAGCAGCGCTGACAAGCTAATGTTAAAATATTCGTTTTGTTGGCGCTGCGGGTGACTGTCCTTATCAAACGCAAAACGTATGCCACTACGCATTTGATTTGTACGAGATCATGACTCTGCAGATCATCTTCATATTCTGGTGGAG